GGAGCTCTGGTAGCGTAGTGGTTACGAATCGGGCTGCGAACCTTAAGGTCAGCGGTTCGAAACTACCAGCTGCTCCGCGGGAGAAAGATGAGGCTTTCTACTCCCGTAAAGATTTACACCCTCGGAAACCCTGTACAGGGTCGCTATGGGTCGGAACCGACTCGATGGCACAACAACAACAACAACAATAGTGAAATATCTTCTACATCAACGTTAAGTTTGTTTTCAGTTTATATTTATAACATTGAGAATTTCCTTCTAAAATGTATTCTGTATTTCAATTTAATATTTATACAGTATGTTAGGAATCTTTTATCACAATACTATTTTTAAAGTGATTCAGTGCTATAATTATTAAAAAACAGAACTAAAACATATTTATCATTGCATTTTTGTTTGTATTGAACTGTTTGTTGTTGTTGTTGTTGAGTGCCATCGAGTTGATTCCAACCAATAGCGACCCTGTATAGGGTTTCCAAGGAGCAGCTGGTCAGTTTAAACTGCCGATCTTGCAGTTCAAACAGCTTTGCAGTCTGACGCATTAACCCACAGCACCACACCAGGACTCCTTCAACTGTTTAGAGGCAATAATTAAAATTGGAACATGTCAGTTTAGATACATTCTATTAATAAAACTTTAATTATTAATGAATGTGTTGTTGTTTTTAAGTGCCATCAAGTTAGTTCTAACTCAGAGCAACCCTGTATAGGGTTTCTAAGAAGCCACTGGTGGATTTGAACTCCCTACCTTGTAGCTTGAAATCGAGCGCTTATCCTACAATGTCATACCAGGAGTCCAATGATTGTATAGAATGTTTAATATTACTATTTTCAAAACTAATTACAAAATCTTGAGATGAATAAAGTTTGAGTCAACATAAAACTGTAATTATTATTTTCAGGATAAGGAACATACTTAGTAGCCATATTTCTTAAGATGAAATTGCTCCAGGTTTCCAGGCACAGCAATTGGTCGCTATTCACCTAGAACAACAGAGGAAAGAAAGTCAGGAACTAGAATCGGAAGAGGATGTGGACTGGATAGCTAATTGCCTCCAAGAGCAACTGCCTCTTTTGCCATGAAAACAGAAGAGCTAGAATAGTGTCCAGAACTGATTCAATATCACTTAACAACAAAAACCACTACTGAACATTTTCGATCAAAAACTCCATAGAAGAATCTTGATCAAAAAGGGAAAATGCAGAACAAGATTTCAATTCTCACAGAATCAAAGCTTTCAGGGGGCATGGAGCGTAGATAAACACCTGAAACTATTTCCCTGAGACAACCTTTTAAACGTTAAACCAAAAATATTCAATGAATAAACAAATTGTGGTACATACACATAATGGAATATTATGCTACCTTGAAGAATAACAAGGAAGCGGCAAGCCACCGCCATGGATGAACCTTGAAGACATTATGTTGAGTGAAATTAGTCAGTCACAAAAAGAGAAATACTGCATAGGATCACTACTGTAAAAGGCTAAGAAAAAGAATCCATACTAAAGGGGGTAAGGGGAACTCTTTGTTGATCGCTGGTAAGTTGGAGGTGGGTGAGGGGAGGGAAGGGAAGGTGGAGCACAGGGCAGGGATTAGACACAGGAAAGTTTGGGTGCTGGGGAGGGGGGGCAATATATAAGAAGGGAGAGGGAAATGGAAATACAAAGCAGATGGGAGAACAATTAGGCATGTTTGAATGGGCTAAGTGGGACAGAGGTAAAGAATGATGTATCATAACCTTGGAACTACAGAGCTCTGGGATACAGAGATTGAGACATGGTTGGAATAGGGAAAAGGGGGGAATAATGTTAAGATGATTGGCTGTCTTTTGAATTTTGGTATTCCTTGCATTATAATATAAAATAGACACTGGAGGAGGAGAGAAAGGAATAGTCAGAAACAACACCATAGAAAGCTTGTAAGTCTGTCTTCTACCTATAACTGATTGGAATACCTAAAAGGGGGCTACAACGTGCCCAGTGAAGGAGGCTTCCTGCAGAGCCTCTGCAATACATAAGACTATAGGTAGAAGCCTGAACCACATCCAGATCTCCAGAGATGAGAAATTTCCACTTGAAAGGACGAGCAGACCAGCCTGGAATGGCTAGAAGAATAGAAAATACTTCTTGAAAGAAAGACCTACAGGAAAAATACAAAACAATAGAGGCAGACAGACTGTTACTACAAGAACAAACAAGTTGCTTGCCCAGGAAACATCAAGGCAAATGGCCGGGTCCCCTCAGTGCAAACTCCCTTCCAAGACTAAGACTCAATGGGAATATACACTCTGATTGGTGACCATGCTCGTCACCGATAAGTGGAAATGAGGGAAAAACAGCAATGAAGTGGCGAGCTAAGCCCTACAATGTGGAGAGTGAAGTGTTCAGCTGATAAAATGAGAGGGCATATGCACAAGAACACCCACACTTGCAGATAATACCCACTTGACCTGGCTTCAATGACTGGATGATCAGAGCTCAACCAGAAGAAGAAAGAAGAGGGAAAAAGGAATAATCTGATGCAATTTGATGAACTTGACCTACACCTATGGAAGCAGTAGCTCAAACGAGGGAACAAATTCTTACAACAAGAATCATTCCCACCCCCTCCACACACAGAGTAGACAAGGATGGGTAACTTGGACATTGGCTACCCAAAATGGGGAGGTGGGGCTACAAATTCAAGAAGTGACTGGCTTACAAACTTTCAAGAGGGAACCTAGAGCCAGGGGGCCTCGAGGAAGGCAGAATCTCTAGGCAGTATCCAATCTGCCTATGTGGAGCTGATGAAATGAAATACAGATTGGTCTCTTGTGATACAATAGTGAATAATTGTTATCAGGACTGATTTTGAAGGTTGGAAATGTAAAAGTAGACATTTTATAGCAAGGAAGGGAGGGAATAACTTTTCAGTCTAGGAGCGGAGGTCCCTAGGACCATCAACAGAGAAGAGCCAAGAGTGGGACCCTACCCAGAGAAGCAGTGATGCCCGAGATGGAGGCAGAGACAATGACGTGGAGCGATGGAGCAGCTGGAGACCTTAGATCCAGAAAGGGAGAGCAACTGTGTGCTAAAGACTAGGGGTGGGGGTGGGGGGTAGGGATAGTGTAGGGGACAGGCTTGCAGGGTATACCCTTTTGTCGGTTGATGATGCATGGTGGGGATTGTAACCATGGCAATGAGAAGATATACGATAGAATGAATGTAAAACTAATGTTCTCCCATGTAAACTATCATATAATTCACAATAAAACACTTTAAAAAAATCCAATGAAGTCTTCTGAAAACAAACAATACTTTAGCTTAACTTGATAAAAGTTAAAAAACAAAACAAAAAAAACGGTCTTCCTTGAGCATTGGTTGGTTGGTTATATGCCGTGGAGTCGGTTCCGACTCATAGTGACCCTGCACAGGGTTTCCGAGGCTATAAAGATGAAAGTCACATCTTTCTCCGCGGAACTGCTGGACTTGAGGTTCGCAGCCCAATCATAACCACTACACTTGAGCATTATATGAGATCAAACTGATATCCTTAACTACCGGGTAGGAAACTCAGCAGAGCAGTGAGCTGATGTTAATGAGGAACAACTCACAAAAGGAAGGTGAAGGTGGCTGTATGAGAAACGCAACCAGCACAAAACTGCATGTAGAAACTGCGTATATTCTCAACAACAAGAAAAATCTAAGGGGAAACAAATTTGCAGAACATAAACTTACAATTGTTGTTATGTGGTTTGGGGTCGGTTCTGACTCACAGCTACCCAATGCGCAACAGAACGCAACACGGTCCTGCACAAATTTTAGATTGGAGAGTTCCCATCAGTTCAATCACGGTTAACAAAGTAATGCCAGAACACAAAAAAACTTAAATTTCTTGGTGAACCAAAAGGAAAAAATTAGTTTAAAGCTCTGAAGGCACCATGGAAATGATTCCCATTTTAATGATTGAGAAACTCCAAGTTTGGCAAGGCCTAACTTAATTAACACAGCTATAAAGTGTTGTTGTTGTTGTTAGGTACCATCGAGTTGGTACCGACTCATAGCGACCTTATGCACAGAACGAACAACTGCCCGATCCTGGGCCAACCTCACTACCCTTGTCATGCTTGAGTCCATCGATGCTGCCACTTGGCCAATCCATCTCCTTGGGGATCTCCCTCTTTTTCTCTGACCTCTCCACCTTACCGAACTGCAAAAACCAAACCGTCTACAAGCCCCCAATTACACGTCATTCCAAACTGCCTCCACACTGGTCTTTGTCAAGCAGTGAGTCGGAGCCACACACGACGGCTGTGAAGTGGAGCAATGCTGCCTCAGCACATGGCGGCGGTCCACCTGGACGGCTGGACGGCCTCCTAGCTGCCACAGCCGCCTAACTCACAGGGCGCTCACGACCGACAGCGCACAGGCACAGGCAGGCCAGCGAAGAAGCGGGTTTGTTAGCTAAACGCACTGGAAATAGGAAAAGAAATATGGACAAAATTGTACCCTAAGCTTAAATTGTTTCTGGGGAGGAGAGAGGGAGGGATGCAGACTCGAGGTGGTGGGAATGGCACAGTAATACGGACTCCAACTTCACCGTGGGGAGATACTCCCTCCGCAGTCTCCCCGCCCCATTCCCGGCGACAGCTGTGACGTCACTCCTCTGCGTCTCGACGTCCGCACGCAGCGTACCTGGTACAGCAGCATCTTCCGACTCCCAGGCAGGAGGCCGGGTAAGCGGGGTGGAGCCACGTCGCCGACGGCACGCACGCGCCGGAAGCAGCCGCCAGGGCTGCGCGCTGAAGTCGCGGGAACGGGGGAGGAGGAAGAGATGGGGGGCTTCCGCGGTGGCCGGCGATGAGACGCCGGTACGCGTGAGCGAGCCAACCGGAAGGAAGGCTGGGGGGGAGCGGAGAGAGAGCCGCAGGGGCGGAGGGAGGGGGGCGCGAGCGCGGCGGCGGCGGGCGAGCAGCGGCGGCGGGCGAACAGCGGGGCCCTCGGCGGCGGCGGAGGCAGAGACAGAGAAGATGGCGGACGGTGACAGCGGCAGCGAGCGCGGCGGCGGCGGTCCCGGCGGTGGTGGCGGCGGCTTCCAGCCCGCGTCCCGCGGCGGCGGCGAGCAGGAGACCCAGGAGTTGGCCTCGAAGCGCTTGGACATCCAGAACAAGCGCTTCTACCTGGACGTGAAGCAGAACGCCAAGGGCCGCTTCCTCAAGATCGCCGAGGTGGGCGCCGGGGGCTCCAAGAGCCGCCTCACGCTCTCCATGGCCGTTGCCGCCGAGTTCCGCGACTACCTTGGCGACTTCATCGAGCACTACGCGCAGCTGGGCCCCAGCAGCCCCGAGCAGATCGCCGCGGCGGCCAGCGCCGAGGACGGCGGGCCCCGGCGCGCCCTGAAGAGCGAGTTCCTGGTGCGGGAGAACCGCAAGTACTACCTGGACCTGAAGGAGAACCAGCGCGGCCGTTTCCTGCGCATCCGCCAGACCATCAACCGCATGGGCGGCGGCGGTGGCTTCGGCGGCCCGGGGCCCGGGGCTCTGCAGAGCGGCCAGACCATCGCCCTGCCCGCCCAGGGCCTCATCGAGTTCCGCGACGCGCTGGCCAAGCTCATTGACGACTACGGCGGCGACGACGATGAGCTGGCCGGGGGCCCGGGCGGCGGAGGCGGCGGGCCCGGCGGGGGCCTGGGCGGGGAGCTCCCCGAGGGCACCTCCATCACCGTGGACTCCAAGCGCTTCTTCTTCGACGTGGGCTGCAACAAGTACGGGGTGTTCCTGCGAGTGAGCGAGGTGAAGCCGTCCTACCGCAACGCCATCACAGTCCCCTTCAAGGCCTGGGGCAAGTTCGGCGGTGCCTTCTGCCGCTATGCGGAGGAGATGAAGGAAATTCAGGAGCGCCAGAGAGATAAGCTGTACGAGCGGCGCGCCGGGGGCAGCGGTGCGGGCGACGAGTCTGAGGGCGAAGAGGGGGATGAGGATTGAGAAGGCGGTTTCACCTAAGGCCTCCCGCGCCCAGCGGGAGAAAACAAAATGTAAGACTATAGTTAATTCAACGAAATCACAAGACAACAGTCACAGAAAACAGCAGTAACGTTCCAAGCGACTGACAGCAACCTGGAAAGAGGACACTTGATCTCTTCACCACAACAAAATAGTCTCAGCTTTTGTTTTGGGGTTTTTTTGGTTTTTTTTCCTCAACTTGAGGTTCCTAAACCTTCTAGGGACAACCCTGGAGGGGATGAAATCCTCACATTGTGGGCCAAGAAACACATCTGAGTTACCCAGACCCACTCACTGATGACAGTTGAATTTATGTTACACCTGTGAAATCTGGTTGAAAAAAATCTCTTACTATTAGTGTCTATTCCTTTACCTCCATTGAAATCTGCATTTTCAGTCTAAGTCTCCATGGAATCCTTGAGAAGACAGAAGCCTTTGCAGTTCCCCAGTTGTGGTACACAACTTTAATCATGGGCAGAGCAAAATAAAAATTCAAAATATCATTGGAGAATACAAAAACACATTGGAAATCTATATTTTTTTTTTAATGGTTTTGAGTGGAACCTGGAACAAGGCCCATCTCTTTTTGCGAAATTGTCTTCTGGCTGCAGATGAGTTCAATGATATCAATACTTGAACTAGAATCCATTACTAAAATAGTTTAAAAGTTGGCAAAATATTTTGAAGATAAAATATTGGAGGTTGCTGAGGTAGGCACAAGAAAAAATTGGGCACAAAGCACAAGGAAAGCTGAGTGGATTGGTTGCTGCTCACTAAAGTTCTTCCCCTGATCTCCAAATTCTGGAGGTCATTACCAAGAAATAGCTTAGGTAGGAATTAGAGCTCGATCCCTCGTGGAACAATTGAGTTACGAATAATTCAGCTGTTTTTTGGCCTCTGGTTGGCTGTATTTTAAACTTTAAAACTTGAAGATTTCTACAAGAGTTACAGTGGCTGCAAGCCTGAGCTTTAATAAAATATATTGCCTAACAGAAAAGTTGGAAATAACCAAAACTGAAGTCTTCCATTTACCTTCAGTTTAATCTGTGGATTTGCTCAAATACTGAAGAGCCTCAGGTCCAGAATTCCAGCATCATTTATTCTTAAAAAATTTTAAAGAACTTGATCCATTGTATCAGTACCTCACAATCAAAGTTGGCAAATAATGAATGAACGATTCAAAGCAGCACGCCTGATGGAAGCGGAAATCCATCTCAAAAGGGAGCTGAAATACGCGAGAATATGCTGACTATATCCTGGAAGCATTTTATGCCATCTTGAAATTTCAACAAACTAGCTTTTGCTAGTTTATTCAGCTGTCTTTCAAGAATAAAAGTTGGGGTTTTCAAGGATCGCCTCCTCTATATTTTAAATGGATTCTCACTAGGAATAATTTTTTATTAAGTTAATCCTACTCCCATCAGAAGATATTCCTAGAAATGTCATATACCTAGGTAACTTTGAATTGAATGGGATCTCATGTTCATTCCAAAGTTTTCAGGTATCATTACTTGTGGGACACCTCACCCAGGAGGCAAGTAACCCCACTTCCTTAATCTTGCTTTTTTTTTAAAAAAACTGCATGCCTGCCCTTTATTTGAGCTGCCTTTTTAATTTATTGCATACCCTTTTTATGATCTTCTTTTGGTGGTATTCAATCTATACAATCTTTATATTTATCGGGAAATAAGTAATAAATAAAAAGGTCACTTACATGCATTGTGGCTAAGGTAAAACTAATAGTGTATATAAAATTAGGCTTTTTAAAAATTAGACTGATCCAGAATATTGTCAATCTTTAAAAAAAAAAAAAAAAATGCAAGAGCCACAAACATTGGTGCCCTTTTCAGACTATTTCTCTAGTCATCATTCACAATAAACTTTTTAAACATTTTTTAAGCTTTTCTTTTTTAAAATTTTCTCCGTTGCAAAGAATGTTTCCTAAATTGTATGGGAGCAATAGTATTTTTGATGTTTTAATTACATCCCTATACTTGTACTGTATTTTGTACTACAAGGCAGCTGTTTTCAATAATGTCCTGCTGTATTTACTTACGCGTTTTGTTTTGAGTGTTTTATTTCTTTGCTGCGGAGAACAAATCCCTAAAGGAGCTGAGAAGTTAGCATTAGGTTTGCAGAAACTTTTAGTGTCAAAGTTTGAGGTAGCAATGACAATTTAGGTTGCAGCTAGTGATTGCTGTAGCTTTCTCGTTTTCAAACCATGTACAATTCCTGAATGACTCACTTGTTTTCTTGCTTCAGTGATGGTTCTTCTGCTCAGCGCAGTGAGCCAGTTCAACTTCACAAAGGTGCAGTACCTCTCCTTGTCAAGGACTTGGTTTGTTATGTTTCCTTTTTGTTTGGCTGAATTGCAGTGACTAGCCTTGCCTTTTCTATTCTGTAGAAATGACAGGGTCTTCACAATCCTTTACCAGTGGCTACTAAGCTATAATTAGCTGAATAGGAAGAATGTGGAAGTGGTCTGAGGCATATAGAGTATGTGCCAAGAACATTACCATATATGGTATCAGCTTTGGTTACCAGAGAAATTTTCTTAGTCACTAGACCATGTAACAGTAATATATCATATGTAAATCTTTAGATATCAATTTGATAGTCCTCCAAAAAAGGAGCAAAGAATGCATAAGCTATGTGTTGGAAAAAGTAATTTATATTAAAATTTTGACCTGCCTACGTAGGATTAAGTGGTAAATGTCATAGTGGTGGGTTTTTAAGTCTTAACCAATCTTGAAGGTTTGTTTCTCCTGCAGTTCATGGCCTCTCTTCCCATTGCAGGAAGGTTGCAATGGATGTGGATTAATTGTAGCCTTTCACTGATCCTCGTTCCAGTCACTAGGGACAATAGAAATCTGCAAAGCACAGAGACTGAATTTCTGGAAAGTGTTGTGTGGTTTGTTAAGTTGCTTTAACAGGCCATCCTAGAGAACTCATTCAAATATTAGCTTATTAGCAGTAACTGGTCTTTGTTAATGGTATACAGATGGGAAGTCAACCCTTTCTGTTCCTCAACTGCTGCTATGGACTGTGGTTTAGAGCATATATTTTTTAACTTTGGCAAGCATCCCAGCTAATTACATATTTGAAATACTCAAATTCCTGAGAAGTAGGAACCAAAGTTTCTTTTCACATAATTGATAGAAAAAGTACCACAGTTAATAGAGGTGAAAAGTCAAATTTTGTGAATATAAATAATCAAAAGAAAAAGATCTGTAAAAAGTTCCTACTATCCTTTCTGGTTTTTATTGTCCCTGCATATCTTTCCGCAAGTGGAAGGAACTGTGGCAGTTCTGGTCAGCAAACTTCAGTGCATCTGCTGCACAAAACAAATTGTAAATCTGTATGGTACCAAAAATCAAAGTGGAAACCAAACCAAAACCCAGGCACCCTCTGTAAAGAATTGAAGTGTGCAGGAGGTATAATTGACTGTAGCTGTGATGCAAGCACGGGGCTACTTGTCAACTTGCTGTCCATCATTATTGACTGCAAAGTAATTGAGAGGCTCCTGGGGCACGCAGCTGGTAAACCTGCTGCTTCTTGGACTCTGGGTCACTTTGCAGTAAATCGTAGGTCTTTTAACAGATTCTGACTTCCGTTTTCTCAAAACAGTTATCCTGTCTTATCTGAAAATGCAGGGTTGTGGGCAAAAGAGGCTGGTTATGATAAAGCCCTCATATTGAGTGGTCTGTAAATGGCTGCATATTTCAGGCACTATAATTGCTAAGGATGCTTTCTTAAATGTGACCTTTCCTGGCTTTACAAAGGTGTAGAATGTGGTCTACACATGGTGTTCAAAGTTGGTTGTTTTCATCTACTTTGCTCTTGAGGTAGATGAAAATGAGGAGGGGCTTGAGTGTGTAAGCCATGCACATAGTATTCTTCACTGTAAATTTTGTTTTCACTTCGAACCCAACAATGGTACTTTGTCCAGTGCACAACTGATCTCTCAGTAGATATTCATCTGAAAATAGTGTGGCCTTGATCAGTGAGGAAGGGAAGAAGAGAAGTGACTTTTTGCTTTTGTAAACATGACTCATTTGCCGAGAGTCATAATTCTGCAGCACTCTTAGTATCTAATGTGTTTGTGATAAGTCTCCTTTTTGATTGGAAAAAGGTAATGTTTTTGACCCTGTAGTTATTAATTCAATTGAGTTGTCTTCTATTTTTAGGAAGTATCAGAACTGCTCTGATGAATAAACAGTTGACTGCTTTGATGTCTAATCTCAGGTTTTAAAATGTAGTGGATTTAAAATCCCACTGTTCATTCTTAAAACAATTTTAATTTAGTATGCCCTAAAGTTACATGCATAAGGACTGTTCAGAGAGCAGACCTTTCATCTTTTTGCTCCTTTTTCACTTTGTACTTCACTTGAAAAAGTGTCAAGTGATCTTACATTGTATAGTTCCCTTTGACCCTGGCATATTTCTCAAAGATAAAGCACTTTTTGATCATGTAATACATGGAATCTTCGTGTGATGTGGATCATGGTTTCTCAGGCTCCCCTAATCTGCTTATGAATATTATTCGTGTAAAAAAGTGAAAACCTTTGCTAATGTTAGAAAGTTTGTATTATTGATCCAGAATGCATTTTGCTAGCTTCCAATGGATGGGAGAGTAAACAATGCTGCATTCACAACTCAATAATTACTTTCCCTGAGCCTTAAGGTAACTTTGTTTTTTTTTTTTGTTTTTCTGTCAACAACAGCACTGAAGTTGTAGTAAGTGAATGAGATTATCCGTTTTCAGGGTTGGTTTTAGAGTACTGTAAATCAATAGCTGTCTTCCTAAAGAGTTTATTCAATTCTCAATGAATAAACTGGTTAATAGGTATGTGGGTGAGGCTGGGGAGGGGAGGGAGATAGTTTGTAGAAAAGAAAAAAGAACCACATATACCTTAAACACCAGGCAAAAAGTGCATGTAATATGCCCAATTTGACAATACAGATAGTAAGGTGGAAATGGCAGATTATAATAACCTCATT